CTCAAACTGCTTTTTTTTATTACATTTTAAATAACAGTACATTTTAATATAGTTTCTATCTTGCATCCAGCTTTCGGTTGTACACTGACTGACTTTAAAATTAAATACAAAAGGTGAAAAGGGAACAGTGGGGGTGCAGAGCTCTACAGTTATTTGATGGAGAAAGAGAGAAAAGGAAAGGGGATGTAATTAATTTTTAATATTTTTATTTTATTTTTGCCAACTCCAGGCCTAACACACAATTACAGCACATTTTTAGTACAGAATGTCGCAGAGAAAAAAGAATGGAATTTTTTTTAACTACTGCTAAAGAAAGAGCGTCTGTTTACAAGGAGAAGAGAACAACAGAAAATGATTCTGCCATTCAGATGCTGCAAGATTTTTTTTTTCATTTTTATTAAAGGAGAAAAAAAAACCTGTTATAAAATGTATTTCTCTGTAAATGGAATTTTGTTTGCTACAGAAGGAATGAAAAATTTATGTTCCATTTGAGTGTATATGTTTAGGTGAATGAATGTATGCAAGTATGTATGCGTGTACAATTTAAACATTTGTTACTTCTTAATTCGTGGAATCCCTCCCAGCTATGGACCAAGTAACCGTTCGTTATGCAGGGCTTTGCTTCTCAAGTGCATAGCTTTGATATTTTAAGTTGAATCATGTATGCACAGAGTAGCCAAAATCAGAAGGGAAAAAAAGAAAAATATAAATATCATTGTACTGATATATTCAACAGGTTATTTTCAAAAAGAAAAACATCAAAGGACTTAATTCCATATGCACCTTTTTAAGCAATTCTACAGCATGCGATTCTAACAGATAACCCACCCATGGCAGACAACCAAAATCTTTTTTTTTCCATTTTTAACTTAAAAAGTTTCAATATCATTATTTTCAAACATTGATTTATACAACATGTCATTCACAGAGTAGTAACTGCATTTCCAAGCACGGAATGGGCACCTCTGTTAAAAGAGAAACGTCCGGATTGCAACCGGGCTAAAGTGGAGGTTCTCCCTACCCGACCAAATCACATGACCGGTTCCCAACCACGGGCAACAAAAACCAGGGAAAACAAAACTAAATTAAAGGAGAATGAAATGAAATGATGAGGTGGGTGGATTATGTTCCGATGGGTTAATTGTCATTTAATTATTCTACACTGTCAGCAGACAAAAAGGTGTAAGAATGATTAAAATGGGCTTTTTTTGTTTGTTTTTCAATTTAAAAACAAGCATTCATTATCATAAACAGCATGTGCTTGGTTAGTTAACTTTTTCTTTAGACATTATTCTATATATGCAAAGTTTAATTTTGTGCAAACAAAGATTTGTGTACTACACTGGAAAAAAGAAAGTAAAGGTATCTTGGGACTAAATATACAGTAGGGCCAGAAGTGGCTTGAGGACTCCCTGTTGAAGTTGAATTCTTTGCTCTCCAGTTGGATATACCTGGATTTAAACTGACATGATCTGGAGGTTCTTTTAGTTTTCAACTTAAAAACATTCTCTAAAATGTGTAAAGACTAGAAAATAAAACAAAGCTTTGATCCTCATTTTAAACATTAACTGACAGTTCACTGCCCCTCTCAAACAAAAAAAACAAACAAAACAAAACAAAACAAAAAAAACTATAAAAACGACAAAGAAACAAGAATCATTATGGCCAAAAAGCTATTAAGAGTTAGATTACTGTCCTGTAATAACCTTATTCATTGAGCCCTGTGTGTGAGGATGCAGGACACATTAGCTTGGTGGTGGTGGCAGCACTGGCGGGGTGTTTGTATTTTCACTTACTATAATACCAGACCATGGACATGGGAAGGTTGCACAATTTTCCCCTCCGTTCCATTTTGAAACAACTGAATTCCTCAAGCTGTATTTTTTCTTTTTATTGTAGCTGAATGAGTGACAGACAATTGTGCTCTTTTAAATGAGAAGGAAAGAAAGAAAATTCTTGCCCTTGATAGTTTTTTGGGGTGTTTGGAGTCAGTGTCATGGTGTTTTTGAAAAGATTGGATATGCAATAAAATTGAACATGGTGATGTTGGAATGGTCTTCCACTCAACTTAGGAGTCCGGATGCCATCTGGAAACAAACAAAAAAGAAACAGTTTACTGCTATTATTCTGTAAAATCACTCACTTGCCAGAGAACTGTGAAATTGATACCTCGAGCACTGATCATACGTTCAACTTTGTTCAAGTTTAGAGATGCACTGATCAATCGGCCAAGATTGGAAACGGCCAGTTTTCAGCGTGATCGGCCTTAACCGGTGACCAGCCACTCAATCTGAGATTTCCAATTCTGTGCCGATGACATTTTGAAGCATAACAGTTCACGTCACACACACAGTGGCACAGACCGAGAGAGTAGTGTGTGCAAAGCGTAGCATCTCGTGTGCTCCTGCTGGTCTGTGCCAGTGTGTGTTCACTTGCGCACTGGAAGCTCTTGGTGTACAAACTGCACACAGAGGAGCCTACAGAAACACCTTGGAGAAGGGAAAACTACATCCACATCTCCAACAAATAGTACACAATGAAGGAATCACTGGTACACATGAAAGGTGTCTCTGTATTTTTATCCTGCCCACTGGCATACATGAAAGGGTCAGAATATTAGGATCACTTCTGAATATAATGTAGTCCAGTACACCACCACCTTTAACTATGACCTCAATAATGAACATACAATTGAATTTACACATTTATGACAATTTGAGCTTCATAAACACAAATGTTAATGCAGAAGTGTTGCATTGAAGTGCATACAGATGTACAGGTGGTCATAATGTGATGCCTGATCAGTGTATATGCACAGTGTATCTAACCTGTGATAAAACAGCAAATACAAACTACAGACACTTCAAAAAGAACTGTGTGCTCAGTAGGACTGATGTAACAGACCTGCTGCACCTGTTTATATTTGGAGAAGTACAAATACTGCACTGAGTGAGAGAAAGATGAAAAATGTAAAGCTAATGTTTTATTTTTATTAAAAAATATTTTTCATTAAAGAAAAGTTACAAAATGTCTTTATACTGTCAATTACATTTCACAGAAAGAACATCGAAATCGGCAGGTCAGTCTTAAAAAAATATTGGAATTGGCCAAGAAAATTGCAATTGGTGCATCTTTATTCAAGCTCGATTAGCACTTAAAAATCCATTGTAGATAGAAATAATCACATTTATTTTACTTTTGTTGGAGGTATAAAATCTCAAGCACAGTGTCAATATCATGTCACTAAGATTTCATGTGGGTGGGTGGTTGGAGGGGAAGCTATGAGAACAAGAGAAGGCAGATCAGGCAGAAACTATCACTGCACGAGAAAAAAAAAAAATCGTGAAATTTACCACAGGGGCCTCCCACTATATGTGGTTGATGTGACATAATGCTTGATCACTTAGTTTTGTATGTTGTACCTTCGTTTCCAGACTGTGTCCCTCTCAGTCCATCACTCACCTTCAGATTCTAGTTCCAGATCTTAAGGAAGCTGTCCCAGGACCCTGTTGCCACTGCCATACCATCGTCGGTCACACCCAAGCAGCTCACCCGGTTATCATGACCAGCCAGGACCCCTACAGAGACAGCAGAGGCTGAGACACAGCAACAAACCTGCTCTGTGTGATGGATGCCAACTGCTAGGTTACCCTGGACCATGAACATCAAATTACAGGATATCAGCCAGTATAATAAGTGACAAAATAGAAGTTAAGACCTGGGCTGATTTCTAAAAGGCGAAGCATAGGAGCTAAGTATAAAACAAACTAATTAATTAAATAAGACAAGGTGAATATGGGGTCCTCACAGCCTGCCTGGCTGATATATTTTAGTTCAAATCAGATAAGACTAGCTGAGATTTTAGATGATTCATTTAAGGTGAATACTGACCCAATATATTAAAGATGCACCCACCAGTGGATCTAATACATGTATATATATATGTGTGTGTGTGTGTGTGTACTTGAAATAGTCTGCTCAGATGTGGGCCTCCTCTGATCACTATCCCACTATGCAGTCAATAGCTATAAAGTATTCATGCCTCCACAGGGGCTTTTCACTGCTGGAGCAGGTGATGCACGCTGCTCTCCCAGATGTGTATCATTGCATTTCATACTCTGTCCTGTTTTGCCTTCAACAGCTTTAACATCAATCAAATTTCTACCATCAAATCCAAACTCCAGATAAGTTGCTTCCTGTTCAATGGTTTGCTAAAAACAGGGAGTGTACAAACCTCACCTAGTATCAGTGTGATATGCTCAGCACCATCTGTAGGCACTTAAGATGTCAAAGAGCTAATTCATTAAGTATTTATATAAAACCAAAAATGCTTATTCTACATATCCAAAATCATACAACCATCTCCATATGTAAAGGCAATGCAAGCAGTGTTTATAGGGTTGTGTGCGTGTGCCCTTAAAAAAATTCCACAATGGAACAAAAAAAAAAGCAACTTTGTGCTAACAATCCCACAGATGTGAAAATTACCACTGAGCGTCTCTACAACTTTGAGTGATGATACAACATGATTGTGATTACCCTAAATCTGAATTTACTGGTTCCTATTGAGTGTACTACTGAGTTCTCTGGTCACATCATGACAAAATCCAGGTAAAGGCATTGTATGACTTGAAATGTGCATATAAGAACAAACTAACCCAAATATTCTACAATAACATATCACACTGATGATCAATGACATTAGGACACACTATAGGATTCATATCTTTAACCTGTGGTAAAGAGTTCTGAGGATTTTTGATCTAACAGAGTGAATAAAGAACCATCTTTAAGTATTAGTTTAACAATTATTAAAAATGAGCTACTGATCTGTCATGTCAGTGACAAGAACATGTCCAAGTTGCAGCATTAATCTCACCATAATTTTCAGGTGTCCTTTTGATGGAATTCATGACAGGTCCACAGCAAACTAATTTGCTAGCTTTAAAATCTTTATCACCCTCCAACAAAGCAAATACCTTTGAGGAGCAGGGCTGAACTTTTTAAATAAGAGAAACTACGGTGAAAGGAGACTAAAAGCTGGATCAAGTTCTGGACAGCGACTCCTAACACCTCTACTCTGCATTTTTGACTGGAGCTGTCGCTGAACCTTTAAGTTTACTCTTGGTACCCTTGAAATTCCATATACATTTTGGTTTGGATAACCATCAGTGCAGCATCTAGCTCAACTCTTTTGTCCTGTAGAGGGGCTTACCTGCACGGTCAGCCTTCAAAGTGTCCCAGACATTGCAGTTGAAATCGTCGTAGCCAGCCAACAGTAGGCGGCCACTCTTGGAGAATGCTACGGAGGTAATACCGCAGATGATGTTGTCATGTGAGTAAACCATCAGCTCCTGGTCAGCACGCAGGTCAAACAGCCGGCACGTTGCATCATCTGAGCCCGTGGCAAAGGCGTTGCCATTGGGGAAGAACTGCATCAAAGGTGAAGGCAGATTTGTCAGTCCTCAGTAATATATTTTTACAAAGGTCCTTTAATTTAAAATGATTTTCGCAAATTATACATGCGACTTTATTTAGTCATCATAACTACATTTGTTTTTCTGTTCTATTGGACACTTGAAAATGTTAAGTATGTGGTACCAAATGAGTTAGTAATGTAGTAATTTCTGAAACAACAAGTGTATGGATTACTATTTTAGTGAGAATCATCAAGAATGCACAACTATGAATTCCTTTATTG